TCACACATTGGGAATCGAACCTGGGTTTTCGGCGTGACGAGCGAGCGCTTTAACCACTAGGCTGCTTCCACCGCGCTCTCGATATAATGGGATAGACTATTTGAGTCATACTTCGTCTTACACTTTTGTAGGTATGTTTTTGTCACTCTGAATAACTATGCATATATCTAAATATAGAACAGATGAGGCTGTTTCAGTAGTCTATTATTTCTCGTTCAGGTTTATAAAGCAGTGAAAGAGAAAGAGAATTGGCTATTTGACTGTTATAGCACTATGTCCGATTATCGATATATCTGAAGCTTAAGTCCTATCTTGGCCATCCAGGTCTCCAGATTCAACAGCTCATGAGTGGCCACGTATACTAGTCGGGACTAATAGCGTCTTTATACAGTTAGCCCACTGAAATACATGCAGTTTAACGTGGATGCCGCCTTCAGACAAAGTATTCTGATTCCGAGCTGTCCACTTCTTGTTTTATCCCCTTAATGCCTAGTGCTAGGCAAGGTAACAACAAGTACCATCTCTTAACGTTTGCGGTATGACGCGGCCATGGTCTCGCACCACCGGCCTTCCGCTCTCCAGACAGACATACTCTCTATTCACTAGACCCCGGAGGCGGACTGGCCTTCAGAACATTCAAAGCGCATCAGATATTAATAATGATAAAACTATTTCAATTGGTTGTGGTGAAAATTAAGGTATCTGAAAATACACGAAAAAACCCAAAGATATCTGGATTTAGGAGATACTGTTTATATTCTTCAAATTTCTCATATATTGCCTTGATATATTGTCTCATAGAAACAGACAATATCGGACAATATTTTACATTGTACGATCAATTTAATACCTGATTTTAGTGTCCAGTATAGAAGGCAGGCGCTGATAACAGGGGTCCAACTAGGCACGCGATGTTAACAATAATGAACCTTACACAGACAACGTTAAAAACACTGGTACGAGACGGTGACAACAGTGTTAGAAGAGAGTCTGTGTTAGCAACAATAATAATGAAACAACAGGGAAAGATGACAGTCAGTGTTATAACAATGTTAGAAAGGGGAGATGTCAGCGAAGCGATTGAAGAGATAGAGGCGGATGTTACCTACAGCATATAGAACAGACATGCAGTGTTAGAAAGGGCCTGATGTTGACAACAATGATCGCTAACAACAATGACAGAAAGGAGTTAATGAAAGAAGAGTAATGCTAACAAACATGATAGAAGAGTGGTGTTAACAACAATGATAGGTAGGGGTTAATGTGAACAATGAAAGAAGAGTAATGTTAACAACAATGATAGAAGAGTGGTGTTAACAACGATAATAGAAGGGAGTTAATGTTAACAACAAAAGAAGAGTAATAATAACAAAAAAGACAGTATAAAGGTGAGGTGAGGTGAAATTGGGTTTAACGTCGCGTCCAAGATTATTGCGACGTCAGTATAAAGGTGTTAACAACAGTGATGAAAGGAATTAATGTTATCTACGAAAGAAGAGTAATGTTAACAAAAATGTAGAAACGGAGTAGAAAGTAGTTAAGAACAATGATAGAAGAGTGGTGTCAACAACAATGATAGAAAGGAGTTCATGTTAACAATTTAAGAAGGGTAATGTTAACAAACATGATAGAATTGTGGTGTTAACAACAATGAGAGAAAAGTGGGGATGTTGGCAAAAGTGATGAAAATAGAATAAGGATAGAAATGAAAATAATCATGTTAACAATGAGGATGCACACGGAGGGAACAACAACAGTGACAGGGTCATGAGCCACCATTTAGTGAATGGCTATTAGGGACACTATATATTGACTTATTATAGTTCACCGAAGTGGTAAACGTCCGAGACCCGCATCACTTCGGGCTTTCCTCCCACATTAAGCTGACACGCCGTGATATAACTGGAATACTGTTTAAAGCGGTGTTAAACCCAACTCACTCACTCACTCACTTATTATAGAAACAGAGGGACAGGGACATGAGCAACCATTTAGTGATTGGCTATTAAGGACACTATATATTGACTTATTATAGAAACAAATGATATGTTAACAACAGTGATCGTCAAGAGGCGATGTCAACATCAACGCTAGAAGCCTCACAGATCTAGAAGCCTCATTTACAATAATAAAAAAAAGCATTTTAACAACAATGACAGAAGAAATGTTAACAACAGTAATAGGAGAAAGGGTGTTAAACACAATGATAGAAGGGAGGCGATATTAACAACAGTGAGAGACTTGACCAACAATTTCATTGAGAATCGTCTTTGGATTGGTAATTTTCAAACTTTGATGTCATAGAAGTGTTACAATAATATTGACTCCAGGAAGCAATAATCTTTGGTTTGATTTTTCCCCCTCAAAGAATTTGACTGTCATGTCAGTGAACCCATGTGTTACTTGATCCTTAATGTAAGCCAAATGAATACAATGTTTTACAATTTAATTGAGATATTTTCCAAAAGACACTACGAAATATTTTGAAGTTGGTCGATCCCAAAAGGCGAGGAGACTATTTGACCTCAGTGAAAGGGTAAGAAATCAGACAAGCGTTTCAGAAACACTCAATAATTTGTTGTGTTGATGAATAAGTTTATATACCCGAATATTTGTTTATGGTTCATGTCACATGTAATCAGAGTGGATCTATTTTACACTAAGTAGGTGAAATGGGATTTAACGGCGCCTATATATATGTATATATATATATATATGTGTGTGTGTGTGTGTGTGTGTGTGTGTGTGTGGGTGGGTGTGTGTGTGTGTGTGTGTGTGTGTGCGCGTGGTACTATGCCGCAGTTTAACATGAATACCCCATAGTATACTGACTTGGAGCCGAACAGTCCTTGTTTTAACCCCTTATATTGCCTAGCGCCAGGCAGGATAACAACGAGTACCATCTGTTTACGTCTTTTGGTACGACGCAGCCGGGGATCGGACCCCTGATCTTCTGTTCTCCGGGCGGACGCTCCACCACTAGACTAGTGCAGCGTCAAAGAGGTCTCATAAAATGAATTGTCACAATAAAATGGATAGCTTGGAAAATATTTTACAGCAGCTTTAATTTAAGCTGGTGCTGGCTCTAATTCGTGAGTATGTTTAGTATATGTTGTTTAAACATTTTACTTATTTCTATGGACATTGACGTGAATATCCCGATTACAGGACGTAAAGTTGTTAATAAACTTAAACGGACGTCGTGTAATCGGGATATTCACGTCCATGTCCATAGAAATGTGTGTGTGTGAATTCACTGTCCATTCAAATATATTTTCTTTGAACTACTAATAGGTTCAGTAGTCGAGATGTATTATTGACAGGGTTAGCAGGCATGCATAACATTTATCCTATACGGTATCAAGTATGGTATTTACGTATGAACTACTACTTGTATGTGTGGAGATGCGTAGGGGCGTCTCAAAAAGATGCGAACCGGCTGAACCTACATCAAGAGGTCAAAGAATGAAGTATATCTCAATAGGCACATACCACTCTGGTATTTGAACAGTGTTATTCTGGCGCTACGCTTCATGTCCCGGAGTATCCTGAGTTGTAGAGCAAACAGACATTGTTTACTATTCCAACTCGAAAATCGGAGGTAACCAGATTACCATCCTATTTTCAGGTCGGCTTGAATACACGAAGTAGTGCTTACACATGATCAAGTTAAGCATGGCTAAAGCAAACAGAGTTCCTGAATTATTCATTAATATTTTCAATAGAAAATATATAAAGGTTGAGGCGTCACATAACTTGACAGAGTGGTGTTCGGTACAGTTGGCCGAACAAAATAAGAACAGTTTCTGAAGAGTGTAGATTCTGAAGAGTGTAGAAGAACAGATGTGATGTTGTGGCATATAATTATATTTCTCATTTAAGCTATCATAATATTACCTAGTACAAATACTGTCATGAAATTAAATTCGTTAATTAAATATGTTAAAGCTGGTGAAACAATTACGTTAGTCTTTGTAAACGTACGACCACGAGGTCAATAAAGATCGTGATGTACTGAGGACTACTCGTACAGTATATACATCCTTCAACAACAGGTTATTATAGTAAGCAAATGATTTCAATATGCATGTGTAAAATAATAGCCCTTATGCTACAAGGAGTGGTTGAGTGAGAATCATCTACGAAGGTCTTCATTGATAATTCATCACTACCCACTCCGTTTTTGTAGTCTTCACTGAAGAAGTACACGTCTACAACACGTTTATCTCCCGACTGTGAGATACGTTTCATTCACACTTTGCTGCAGGGCGACTGCTGAATCCGATACTACCGTTCTAGCATGGAACATCCCCTTTTTGCCAGCAGTGGGGATGGTGAATAGAACAAACAGGACCCTTAAAATAAGCCAGATTTCATTTATGGTCACCAAGGCAAGATCGCGATATAGTGACAGAAACATTGTCTGAAGACTAACAGTTTATAAAGGTTTATAGATCATAAGACTCATTAACGATATATTCGAGAACTGTTAGAACTCTTGGCTATATTATCAGTTAGTGGAATAAGCTCTTCATTCTTGTCCCTGTTCAGCAAATAGTCAGACGCATGCATGAAGTAGGTTCTTCTCATATTTTTGAAAAAGCGCCAATCATTGACACACAATCCTTCCAGCATGTGATGATTTCCACCACGAACATAGTTTTAAGAAGCCAATTTGCTGGTATGAACGAAGGTTAATAATTACTTGTGTCGTCATGCAGACAATGCCGTTCGTACTATGGTCAGTTGAGTCAATCTTCTATCCATTATGGTGTCTTATCCCAAAACCTAAGGACAAAAGTTTTGCCTAAGAATGGGGGAGCAAAATAGCTTCGTGGTTATTTTAATGTTAGCATTTGAGCATATTAGAAATAATGTTCATGTTTACATTGTATGGTGAAACTGTATCAGCATACTTGTGCATATGAAAACGTGACTTCGTAATTATGTGTGTGATCGACAAGTTCCGTTGATAAAGAATGTAATGAAGGATTGTTCGTGATATGTTTTATTATAATGCTCTTTGAAACCTCTGATTACAATGGAAGATATGCTTTATTTTATCGATGTCATTCAGAGAATTTTCATTATTTTCAGTGTGAGTCATTGTCATAATCCATCTTCTCTCGAAATGATTGAAGAGCATCACATGTTATTGTACATCAGTATAGTTGACATCAGCATCGGTGTTATTCCAACAACCGCCATTGACAGGTTGGCTGTGTAGGTAGTTCCCCTGTTAGTTGCTGAAAAGCAAGATCTCTAGAATGACGTGCTTGAATGTACACTTATTGATGTCGGTAATATATACATAACATCTATGCATGTCGCAAAAGAAATCAGACATTTAAGAAATCTGCATTCAGATTGGCCCGCCAGCAGTACCGAATCAACGTATTACCTTGCAAGAAAACATATGTAAGCACTTCTTTCTTTTGTGGGCATTTAATAGTATACTTATGTTACCAGAGTACTGTGATAATAGCGGTGTGTATTTTAAGACTAATCCTTGCAAGAGTGGCTTTATTTTATTTGTTGAGTTTGATTACATTTTAAATAAAAATTAAAAAAGTATATTTCAAATCGCAGATGAAAACCAACAGTGATTCCTGTTTCAACCATTTACTCTAATGAAAATATAAGACTTAATGGATTTCACATCACTCAATTATTTCCTCTATTACCAAACAATATGCGTTTATTTCATGGAAGAGATGAGTTAAACCAACTCTTTGACAAGCAAACAATTCGAAACCTGTTAATTTCTCCTTAAATTCGAATACAACTTACAAGTTTCAGTGTATTTCTAATATGATTGTCACCTAGTATTAATAGTATACCTGGTTATTATGTTTAGAAACTTACGCGTTCCACATCGGGACTGGCTATCGTAGGCAGGGCAGGCTGTAAAGACATATCGAAAACAATACCGTCAGAACATATGGAAGTAAATGCTATTCAGATATACTAATATACTTATTATATCTATCTTTCAAAGAGAGAGGTTATTGCCTCCATGTTCTTACAGTGGGAAATTAAGGGACATCGTAATCAGTAAAAGTAATGATAAACACGCCATTTTGGGCACACACATCTTGAAAATCTCCATTTTTGACTTATGAAATTGAAATCAATGACTTTCCATACATATATACAATGCCCTGAAACATAGTTTATTAGTCCGTGGGATAAACAGAGTTGTGTGCGTTGGGAAAGAAGCAGACACCCTGCTGTCATACACGGAGTACACGACTGTACCTACGCCTGCACATAGCAAGGTCACAGGTTTAACTAGTGATATGCTGAGAGAAGTCGTTCTTGGTTAGATGGTATGATGGTACGTCGACAGTGACAACTGCATGTTCTTTCTGATAGCCATCAAAGAATGTCGTGGACAGACATAACAACATGTGTGAGTGAGTGAGTTGTGTTTAACGCCGCTTTTAACACTATTCCAGTTATATCGCGGCGTGTCAGCTTAATGTGGGAGGAAAGCTCGGAGTGATGCATGTCTCAGACGTTTACCAATTCTGTGAAACCCACGAGCACGGGTATGGTGCTGACAAACCTAGAAACGTAATCGGGGCGAACCGGGATTCAAACCCATAATCATAGGTTTCTAGCGTGCCCTAGGGACGCAACTCCGCACAGCAAATTGCGGCGCCTTAGACGCCTGGGGCACCCGTGCCCCCCACAACATCATGCACACACAGACGTGTGAAGGAATGAGCTGTATGTTCAGTATGTTGTTAAAGTATAACATGGGTAGATAGGCCGTCATGTGAAGATCAGGGCAATGCTCATAAATATTACCATTAGTCTGTGGCGTCAGTAGGAAGGCTGCAGGGTTCACACACAGGTTCTGGAGGACGGTGTTGGCCCGGTACTGGAAATGTGGAGCCAGAGTAGGACGACGGCTCCATACGCTGGATCTGGCAACTGAACATTCCCCATTGGAGCTCACATTGAGGCATCCATACACGACGGCGTAGTTGTCGTAGTCGGTGTCAGCGATCCAGTGTGGATACTGTTCTGTTATGAAGTCAAAATAATACATTCAGATACACTAGCATCATTAACATAATCCTCTACGGAAGTTTGTTCTTTATGAACGTGCGCCATGATATTTTTCATATTTGATACTACGTGTGTTTATTAGTATTACCCATACCTGGACCATCGACAGCTCGAAATGTAAGTTTTCCAGCCGTTTCTGATGTCTGGAGGACTTTTTCTTTGTAGAAGCAACTGTTCCTTCTCCTGAAAACAGGGGACAGTCAAACACTGATGTGCGAACTTGACAGGACGTTCGTTAGTACTTCGAGTTGTCTGAGGTTCAACGCAAACGAAAATGATAAATAAAGAAGAAATACGCTTGCGGCAAGCTTTTTCTTTGAGCAAGCGTAAGTTCCACACATCAAAGTTCTACACAGCGGTGTTTGACGGTATTTGAATACATCCGATGGTCGCCGGTGAACACAAGTGGCGACACCACAAGCTCATCAGATTAAAATATTTACATATGTACATATACATGATAGAAGAACGCGTGTGCATAACAGTTTTCATACCGAATGACATTTCTTTTTGGTGATAAACTATACCTATAACGCGATCACGTTGCTGTTTCTGACACTGCATCAAAAGAAGATTTGTTTTATTTCTTTATAGATATAATTAAGTATGAATGATTTAGTTCTAGAAGTACGACACTTTGGATATCATCAATAATACATTGATCCTGAAACTCTGAGGTTTCCAGGGTACGAGAAGCCCGTGCAAACAAGGTTTATCTGTACACTTGTATGCAGAAGATGGTGGACTGACCTTCCTCTGATGAACACAGAGAGCTCCCCATCAACTCGCACTAGGTACTCATGCTGGTAGTCATGGATGCGATCTGATGATGGGACGGATGTCTGCGACAGTCGTTTAATTTCATACCAGATCCCCCGATACTGTGGAACAATAAGCTTTGAATAAAACAAAGTTAAAAGCCAAAATTATTGTTGGCATGGGTTGTAAGTGTTATGATCGCAACGAATCATAATATTTTAACTTACCCTCCTTTCATCGAAATCTTTTTGCATTTGTAGCTCAGAAATGTCACACGACTGTCCGAGTATCGTCTTGTACTGTGCAGCTAAATCACATTCTATAAGCATACAAAGGAACAGAGTGAGTGAGTGAGTCAGTGAGTGAGGTTTACACTCACGACGGGGGACACCAAAATGGTCTTCACACACTCTATGACTGAATTTTATAGAATCACCAAATACTGAAGCACTGAAGGTCAATTTTCACCAAAGCGTTAGTAAATGTTAATTTATTTTTTGCGACAACATATATGTTTGTATATTTGTTTGTGATATTTGTGTACCCTTATCTTGCTCTGTGTCCAAAAATGATGAGGCAGGTAGGCAGGTTGTGTTTTGGAATGAAGGAGCTCTCTCCATTATGATCTGTGGAAAGGTAGGGGTTCGACTCCATATCCAGGCCTTAGCTTTATTACATGTTCCATTACTGAAGACGCTTTTACAGCCGTAGACGAAGGCGTATTGAGTATAGTCAGTCTCCATCACCCAGTAGGGACTTTGATCACCTGAAATCAAATAAAACTTCTTGGTAAAGCTCTGTGAACTTGACTCACTGCTGTGATCATGACATGGGTTCGTGTATAGTTGCGAAATCTTTCAGTGACTGGTGTGCCTGGTCAATGCTATATTATATCACCGATGTGGCTTCAAAATTGCTGACTGCAGAGTTAAATGATATTCAATCGCTGAAATACAGCACTACGTTATCACTGAGCTTACCAAACTATATACAACGCTTACTAAGTTACGAATGGAACGTCTGAATATGGTGTATATGTTAGAGCTTTTGGTACCTACTTGAGTAGATGAATTTTCCTGCACTTTTAGTAGGAATCAGAGTGGAGTGCCCCAAAAAGCATTTACCATCTAAACTTCTCGGATCTCTACAAAAACAAAACAATAGATACCACATACATTCATGTATTAATATACTAAATAATAAAGACAAGAACGTTTAAACTTGACCATATCAAAGGAATCGACTTTTAGAACAGACAGTGAGAACACACAACTGAGATGACAATTTCACGTCTATATCTTGCATGCATACTTACATGAACATGTTATAGTGATACGTGTACGGGTGTACCCAAGGCAATGACACATACATTTACATAAAAAGTATGACTTCATCTAAAGTTTTAAATATTAAGAATGATAATTAGTCCTGACAAATACAGTATATGAAGTCTTTTAAAAAACAGTACTTTCATTCAGGATTCAAGCTAAATGTAGAGTGTAGAGTGCGCTAGTCATGTGTGTACGTACCTACCAATCGCGTAGCTGGTGACATTCCCACTAGCTGTCTGTATGTAGTTATGGCTGTAGTCTCTGAACCTCTTTTCTGGGGGATAATACACTCGTGTGTACCACTGGTATTCATACCATTTACCAACATACTGAAAACGTCATGGAAGTAACAATACATTATACGCCTTCAAAACAGGTTTAAGGTAACATTTGTTGCAACTATAACATTTGTTGCAATATAATCTCCATTCACCTCAATACACTTATTCCATTTGTCCTTCAAGATTTTAATACCACTTTTATAGAAATACGCAGATTGGCCCCCTAACCACGCCTCTGTGGCAGCCTTTATGTCATCGTCACCCTGGAAGCGTCTTCCACGTAGGGCAGATTTCATTTGCCTGAACGGGAAATAGTCACTGGGGGCTAAGTCTGGGCTGTAGGGTGGGTGATTTAACTGTTCGAATCCACATTCACATATGACGGCCTGTGCAATTTTCGACTTGTGAACCGGAGCGTTGTCATGCAAAAGTAGAATACCACGTGTTAACATCCCACGGTGTTTCCGGCGAATAGATTTTCGCAATTCTTTCATTACATTTGCATAATACTGTCAATTGATTGTAGTTTTTGGTGGCATGTAATCAATCAGTAATATGCCTCTTGCATCCCAAAATATGCTAGCCAGCCCATGGTTGAGAGCGATACTTCCTCGGAGGCGGAGAATTTGGGTGTTTCCATTGCATGCATTCCAATTTAGGTTCTGGGTCCCAGTGGTGGATCCATGTTTCATCACCTGTCCCTAGACGAGAAAGAAATCCAGCTTCATCAGCAGTATAGAGATCCAGGAGGTCTCGACAACTTTCAGTTCTCTAATGGCGATCTTGAGCTCTGAGGTTTCTAGGTACCTATCTTGCAGATACCTTGGACGTATCACGATTCTCATGAATAATGGTTCCAACAGTTCCATCTGATATTTGGAATTCCCTAGAAAGCTCAGATACTTTTACTCGTCGCTCAGACAAAATTCTTCTTTCTATAGCAGCAATGGTTCCCGGTTGGGTGGCATCAGAAGGCCTGCCTGACCTTGTGTCATCGTCTGTGGACTCCCTACCCCTTTAAACTGTAGAGACCAACGGCAAACTGTGGAATAGTCAGGAGCATCCTTACCCATCACTTTACACATGCGAGCATGGATTTCTTTTGCTTTGCTACCCTCCTTGGTAAGGAACATTATTACAGGGCGTTGATCATGTTTGAGAGAATACATGATTGTGACCACCCTTAGGTGAATGAAGCCATCACATCTAACTTATTGTTGTGTCTGGAACTTCTTATGACACGTGTCAACCTGATGTTACGACTAGTGTCACACCTGCCACAAGTTGACATTGTTTATGTAAACACAAGTGCCCAAGTTGCAAAACTTATTGAACACCCCTCGTACATTCCCCCATCACGTAAGTTAAATCAGCACTACCCTTTGCTTGAATCTTTCGCGAAACCTACCATTGTCTGTCATTGAAGCAATGGCTGGAGCCGATGGCATCAAGCCAATAGAATGGATATTTCTTCAGAAGACATTTGGTACAAGAGACAATCCTCCAACGGTAAAAATTAAAAAAAGACACTTTATTTTAAGATACCTGGAAAAATATATAAACATACATATTTACTTCAGGTTTATAAAACTAAACTACTTCGAGTGATATGCTGGATATGATTGAAATGCTCGGTTCTTGTTTCAGAGCAACAAATCGTATGTCTTGAAACCATGGCTGGAATATTATTCCCATAACGCTACTATTTCGGCCACAAAGTCATTACTTATGGTAGGAAAGCTTCTTTCAGTACGGCTTTGGAAATATTAGAATAAGTATTTTGTAAATGTTTGCGTATTTACCCTGATTTACCTAAATTGGAAGCACATCTGAATGACAGATATACCGCTTGCTATCAATATACTAGTTTACTAAAGCAGCTGATTGCGGATTATGTCGCACTTGCGAAATCAACTTGCGCCGGTCGAGTCCACTTATGTTTTGGGGTACAAACCACTCATGTATCTGAGTCTGTCCATTATGTGACACATTTGTGGTATCTAAGCTAGATAAAACACTCTTCCTCGGTTGTACTTGGTATTGTAAACCCTCGAGAAAAGAGCATCGAGAGCAAGTCCCGCCATCTGTTTTACTTGCCCTGGCCTCTCTTCCCTCGGTTTTACCATCAAAGGCATAAACCTGTTTGTACTTGTACTTCTTTTATCAACGTACAGCCCGATATATTTACAGGAGATGAATGAACGTGGTGTATACAAGAAGAAGCGGATACCACACACAGTCATGCTGCCACGCTCAAATCATTATCACATCCTTCAGTAGTGATGTGTAAGATGCCTTTTTTATGTCTCAGCGTTCCATTCAGTTCAAAACGTGTATGTTTTTACACTCAAATATGGCAGCACATGTGCGTCAAGCCGTTTACATGATTTACACGATATTGAGTGAAAGAAAACGGTTTTTAGAAACACAGTTGATCTACTGAAAATATAGACCTAAACCATATTGAAATTCGAGTTTAGAATGAATGAATGAATGAATGAATGAATGAATGAATGAATGAGAAGATCCCACACAGGCCAAAATATTATTTATAATACATTATTTGTATTACTTGATTGAAAACACTTTACAGTGTATAATTTGCGAACAGTAGGGTGTATGCGTCTAGCAGTGTATTCCCAAGTCTCATAATCAGTTTAGTAAGTTAGAGAAGTCATGAACAACTACATCGATAAACGATGAAAGCATATCATCGTTGTGTATCAGATATGAAAAGAAATGATTGCTGTCAGACATAAAAACATCACAGTGCAAACTAATATTGCAATCATAGCCATAGCAATGTCGATTACAATGATTCTTTTGCTCTTCATCTGATTTTAAAACAAAGTTGCAGTGGTTGTCTTAAGTAGGGATAGAGATGCACTATATTGTAAAGAACACGCAATTGTAAGCGTGAATGGATTTTATGGTCGCATGGTCTATACTCTGTGCTTGTCTCTCTCTCCAAATGATTTGTTCATTCTGACTGACATCTGATTATATTAGCTTGCCCAGTTTTCTGGAATGAACCACTATCAGTATAATCTGTGACATAATTGTCTAAGTGAAACTAATGTTATGACCCCCCCCCCCCCCCCCCCCCCCCCCCCCCACACACACACACACACCCCATAGGCACCAATCGTGGCCCCTTTCTTGTGAATCGGTTTCGTTCGGCACATACATCAGAATTTCTGCTCGGATTGGCAAAAGTCCAAAACGTCCAAGAAGTTTAACTTAAGCTTCAGGTAATTATCGATGATCTGAAATCGTTCCCAACCATCAAATTGGCAATTCCCTTCCACTGATTTACCCACCTGAACTAGAAATATAGGAGACCACAGAGACAGTCTCGACAGTGTCATATTGCGATCTATGCTTCAAGAATCACAAAACTCTCTCCGCTAGACTGCATGACCGGAGCTGACACCAGCTTTCCAATAGCCAACTTTCCCTTTTGGTCGAGCAATATTTCTATAGCCCAAGCCCTTGGTCGACATTTCAAAGCGTTTGAGTGAGTGAGTGAGTTGGGTTTAACGCCGCTTTTAACACTATTCCAGTTATAGCATGGCGTGTCAACGTAATGTGGGAGGAAAGCCCGAAGTGATGCAGGTCTCAGACGTTTACCACTTCGGTGAAACCCACGAGCACGGATATGGTGCTGACAAACCTAGAAACATAATCGGGGCGAACCGGGATTCGAACCCACAATCATAGGTTTCTGGCATGCCCAATGGACGCAACTCTGCGTCGCGAATTGTGGCGCCCTATACAACTGGGCCACCCGTGCCCCTCTCAAAATGTTTGAGCTACAATCAAGCATGCTCTTTCTACAAAAAGAGCGCCATTCAACTCTTGCTCAGAAGTTGTTTGATCAAGGTTACTCCACCACTAAAGCTTTCAAATTCGTTTTATGGAAGACATGTGGAGGACACATCCAAATTTAACACATCAGTGACAAGAATGAATTCCCTTGCAATTCCATAGTTTCACTTGTATTTTCCATAATTAAGTTCCAGTGTTGTTGTTTTTCAGAACAGAGGGAGAGACTGTACTAACAATAATACAAATATTACAATGGAATATACGTGCTTTATAAATACATGACCTTTTTAGTCAAACAGGAGAAAGACATGCCGAAATATTGTAGTTTAAGCCCATTCTGTCATGTTGAAAAAAACAAGTTTTAATCTGTTGACTCTGCTTCTTTCTGCCTCTTTCATATGTGCTTCAACTCCAAAACGTAGGTTTTGTATCGTCAAGTGGAGACTGACACAGATTTGTCTTCAACCCAAAGTACACAGACATTCAGAATGCTCCGTATGTGTAAAATACATTCAAAATGCTACTTACCCTATCCAAATCCAAATCCTTCTGAACGGACATATTATCCACAATGCAGTCATTGGCATTTGTATATTGGTTATCAAACAAGTGAACAGCCAAAATAAAACATAATGCCGACAAGATCATTTTGAGTGACGGCTGTACAAGCCCTTGGAACTGGTCTGTCTTGATGTGCCAGGCTGTCGGTATATATGGGTTAGGGTGGCTTATTTATCTAAAGGGGTAGGTCACTGGGTCGTATATTTCTCGGGACACTTGAATGCGCACCACCATAGCTGGACTACTAGAAACCACATACAAATTGGCAGTCAACTATACGCGTCGGCACAACAGAACGATCTTATAATTCTAAACGACAAATCCAGTACCAGATACAGCCCTAAGAAAAATCAAACCTTCCTCACTGCAAAAGAACAGACAATAACTACCCCCAATCTGGCAAGTAAAACTACATGGGAATTATTTGACGACTCATTGTGAAGCGACCACTTCCCAATCTCAATAAATATCCAACTTGGTACAAATTATTTACACGAACAAGTTTCCCGAGATCCACTACATAAAAAGCAGACTGTAAAAAATACAAAGTTTTTATTGACCAAATTGACCGTTCACAAATATAAATTCAGTCACTGAAGTCTTTTCTAGAAATTTAAATCGATCATATAGTTGTGATATTGCGGCGTTAGACAAACCAATCAAAATCTAAACAATTAACAAAAGAAATTATCACTATTGCAACCATGAGTATCCAAGAAAGTAATGCCAACCCCAAAAGGAAATGAAGTTCCCTGTTAGACCCCAGATCTCAAAGAGGCAAGAAGACAAAGAAAACTAGCATTTAGACGAGCAAAAACCGACCCACATGACATGCAAAACAACTGCGACATAGTACACATATGCTCATAAAAACACACACCAGAAAAGAGCGCGGGGAAAAATCTCCAGTACCTTAAACACGACAAAACAAAATTCAAAGGCCACGTGGAGCAAACTAAAGGCAGTAAACGGTACCACCAAATCATTACACATCCACAAAATAGACACTCTAACAGATAACAAATTATAAGCACAAACACTATCTCAACACTATCAAACACATAAGTAGCAACACAAATCACCCTCTACCCCGGCCCCCTTCACTACTCACTACACCCGATTCACATATATGTGTTACATTTATAGAGCACCTGGTTTTCAACCATGTGCTTCAACCATGTGCTAGCCCACTTACCCATCTAAATCATAGTCTTTTTATTTTAGCTTAACTTATATTATATTATTCTGCATGAACCCTTTATGGAGGGATGACTCCTCTTTCCAGCTGATACCCATGAATAAATATCATCATGATGCAAGAACTGCCTCATGTTATAACTAGCAGCCCAGTGGCTGGACACAACATACCATCCCGGGCCACAAAATGGCGCCGAACGTGGGGCTGCTAGTTTCATCAACATCATCACTTACACAGTGAGAAGAGGCAGTTCATCATTCATCAGATGACAATCACGAGTTCATGCAGTTTCCAAGGACATCTTGTACACTGTGTAGCTGGTAATTCTTTGACTTTGATTACAAATTTATTTTTCAAATTATCTAACATTTAACCTGAACAGTTCATTTTCAAAATCCAAAGTCTATTCTTTACTTGATATACTTTCAGTCAATACTTTTGATATTTGCACTGATTCCCTTCTTACTTTAACCGTGTCACGTACTTCTTTTTCCATGCTTTTCCTGCCGTCCTTCCTTGAGTGTGGACATAGCTCTCTTTAACAAACAACTAAAATGTTTACCATAAGTATTTTGTGTTGTCTTGTGTTGATTATATTGCTTGACTGTGTGGACTTTGCAATCACAAGGGATTCACGTTATCAAAGCGTAAATCTGAAAGATCTCTTCTTTTCCCGTGTCAGTGGGCATCATATTATCAGCTTGAAAGAAATTGGTCAGCATAATAAATTTTAGATATGTATGTGAATAATTAAATGCTTGTTTTTAAATTCGGTGTGATGCTATTATCAACTGACATTATTGAAGGCATCGCCAGGGGGTTAAAGTAATCCTATCATAATCGATGTAACTATCATCAACCAGTGTTTTTAAGCCAACTCATTGCTGAGTGATTTTTTTTAGTATTGGCTAGTATTGAGCACAACCACCAGTAGCTAAAGTGATGACGTAAATCCTGCTGGGGTATCATGCAGGAAGCAGAGGTACTGTAAGTTCCCATGACATGTTACGGGTGGCCTATAGCCCGTGTTTTAAAACTGTATACATGATATTGTTATGCTCAAATATTTTTCATGAATTGTTTTCAAATACAGTATGCTCAAATATGTTTCATGAATTGTTTTGAAATATAACTTTGCATAAATAACTAAATTGTGAATATTTTAACTTGGTCTCGTCGCTATATGGCTAAATAATGCCGATGCGACGTTAACTTTTTACTCACTCACTCACTCACCATTATAGGGCTTCATCGCTATCATCAGTCATAGCAGATTTTCTGTTTGCAAAATATGAATTATACCATCAGTGACTTCTACTGATGTCTCGTATCCTCGGTATCTCCCTCAATTGCATAAATTATTTATTATCTCAAGTAACAGTATATCTGTGATGTTAGATATTTGTATAGTTTCCCCTCATATGTAAGTTACATATGTGACAGTGGAGTTCAGACAGTACCCACTGTTACATTTACTTACTGTATGTACAACTCAGTTGTTGCTGCATCTTGACTTATTTCTAATAGTTGTCTGGTCTGTAGTAGTCGCAGTTACTACGTGTTTCTGGGAAGACTTTGTAGTTGTTGCCAGGTTAGTCTAACCCCGTAGCATGGGTGATTGGACTGCCATTGGCATCATCTGGCTAGTGTTTCATTTTACCCGACCTCACTACATGCATTAGTCGTTCTTATTAGAGATTCTTTCACATTGCAGGGCCTTGGAATAAAAAGGCAAACTGTTCAGAAGAAATCGCTCAATTCTGTCTGATAGGTCTACAATTATTCAGTTTCGTAGATTACAGAAACTTTCCAGTATTTATGTTATTGAAAATGGTTCTCCTCAAGGTAGTAAGGGGCGATGGATTAGCCTAGTGGTTAAAATGTTCGCCCGTCACACCGATTGCCCGTGTTCGATTCTCGACACGGGTACAATGTATGAAGACCATTTCTGGTGTCTCTCGCATTGATAAAAACGCTGAACACGACGTAAGACTAACTCACTCAAGGTAGTTTAATTAGTCTAGTCCTCTTCAAATAATGATAAACTACCTATTTGCTGATTAACTCTAAAACTAGATGCTGGTGGTGGATCGTTTTGAATCAGTCATAATAATTAAACATCGTTCGTAAGTAGTATTTCAAGTCATCGCGTTCAAAATGCGTTAATTCTTCCAATAAAGAGTAAACACTCGATGACCAGAAACTAGAATATCAGGGTTTATTTTCATCAGAAACTAACATTGTCTTGATATATATGTGTGTCTATAATATGTTGTTAAGTGATAAGTATGTTGAAATATATCCCCAAGACAAAGAACGGTGGCTGATCAATCTTCCATGTTACTGATTTATGAGGCATTCATCTAATCTAGACTCGAATATGCTAACCTGGTTCTTATGTCTGCCTCAAAAAGTCATCTTTGAATTTAACCTGATTGAAGCAACATCTTTGCGAGTATGCACGGATGCCCAGGAAATAGGTTCAGAAATAGGTTCAGATCTCCATTTTGAATGCTCGGAAATCTACGGCTCTTTCAACTATTGATGTTGCTAATGATTGTGATGACTGTGTCATTTGTGAATGGTCCCTTTCATTCTGATTGTCCAGAAACTTGCTTCACGGCATGGAGTTGCAAAGTTCAACGGAGTTGATTCTTCTTCTCCTCCAGACACATGTGCTGTTCCTTGGCTTATTCTCAAACTTGGACTTTGTTCCGATCTTAAATCAAGTCCAGAGTCCAGATGTAATAAAAGTTGTTTCTCGGGATATTCTGTCTGAGCATTATATTTACTTCACATTTGTCTTGATGCCGCAAACAATTCGTAGAGTTTACTTGCGGCTTTACATTGTTAATTGATTCATTGAGTATATTGGATAATCATCACTATACCTACGTGAATTTCATTGTTTTTTTGTTATTACATTGATACTATATCTATTATAAAATGTGTATGTATCGCCACATTGGCCTAGACACATATGCAATCTGATTGGCCGACTGAACACATGGTAAATGTCCTTTTGTGCAAATGTCATTGTACTAATCAAACGAAATCATATGTTTATATACTCCAAATAATATATCCACTCTCATAAACGCACTACACTAAATGGACAACAAAACAGTTACTGCAAATATCAACAGCTGGCTGTCGGCGGTGTATGTAGCTCCTCCACCAGTTTCTGCAACAAATGATAGGTAAATAAACAACAGTGCTTTCTGGCAATGACAAACAAGTATAACAAGGCTCGTCTCCATGACGGATCTTACAAGAACCCGCTTATACATTTTCTGCCATCGATAGGCAGAATGTTATCGTCGCACAAATAGCGTAAAACTATCTCATATATGTTTAAAGACTAACTATATGGAAGCCTATTGGTTTATCAAGGACTCCTCAAGTTTGTCACACTGCATCATGTACATTACACTTCGTCAAATTCAGATTATAATATAATACTTTAAATACTGTGAAGAATTGCTTGTTTGAACGTCCACTTTTGAGTGAACTTTTGAGTAATCCTTTCAATCACGATGTTGCGAAACATTTCTAATTGCAGTTGTATGTGTCGCTACAAATATATGTCTCCATACAATACTGACACTATTTGACCCTCAAGTGACATTGGCATTTTACATAACCATAATATATGATAGGGTTTGACTTTAGGGCGTATCTTATCTGATCCGAAAATTGGTTTTCCTTAATTAAACCGAAGTTTTCTGAAATTTGAGCCACGTTTCATAATATGACCACAAATGACCTGATACGAATCTCGCCATAAGCTTATGTGAGATAATTAAAACACAAATAGTCACTATGAGAAAGCGAGGTTTATTTTACGCCTTGTTCATACTTAGGTACTTTGACCTTCAATAGCACCTAATGGTACGCCAGAACGATTCCTCAGGCGTATATAGTAGGCACATAAAAAAAAATCGAACATCTAGCATAAGTGCGTGATTGAGAAAACCTTTGGCGGCGATTTTGTTCGAGCAAAGACATTACAGGGGCCTGCTTAATTAATACGTTATATTTCACAATAATCCCCTCACATTCATTGAGGTTAGAAGTAGTAACACAGCTTACCTGTTCCACATGGCTGCTTGTAACATGATGCGCAGGCTGTTGGAAGAAACGACAATCATTATACACTTCGCGACGACCATGTCCATATTAAAATGGACACCTACATGATACATATGTTGCATAAGATGAAAAACAAGCCCATTAACGTTTCATTTTAAAAATATGTTTCGACTTGTGACAGGATAAATAAAGTGGTTAATGCCACTGAGAAACATTAATGGCACATTTACCGTTCTTTTGTGACGTCAGTAAGAACGCTGCAGGGTTCACACACAGATTCTGGACGATGGTGTTGGCGCGGTACTGGAAACGTGGAGCCAGAGACTCGCGGCGACTCCATACAGTGGATCTAGCAGCTGTGCAGTTTCCGCTTGTGCTCACGTTCAGACAGCCGTACATGACAGCGTAGTTGTCGTAGTCGGTATCGACGATCCAGTATGGATAGTAAGCTGGGCAAATAATATATATGAGTCTCATCAGGCCATAACTGAATAACGGACATGAATTTGTAACATATAGTTACGTGACGTCATAACATTTAGGAGAACTATGACGTCATAATACCAAGGAGACAATGGACAAATAACTTACGCCTTTACATTTAACTTTGGCGCCTATTTATGAATGAAATGTTGCACTTTTGTAAATAATTAGGAGATAAACCTACTGTGTTTTCAATGTAGAGCTAGGTTACCTGTAGATTTACCCCCGCTAAATTGAATTTGGAACCGAACGCGCAGCGTGAGGTTTCAAATGTTAAATTTAGCGCGGTTCTACCATGACTAAATAAAACGCGAACTCTTTGGTGTTAGCAAATACACTGAGTGAAGCGGCATGGGTTGTTTTCAGTGTTTTGAGTGGGTTATCGATCTGAATTACGGAATCACCGAACAAAATATGGTGCTGTATATACTCAAGCAGTTTGTTTACACCGTAATACTTCACTCGAACATATGACAGGCATTGAAAGCATATAAGCACGGCAACTTGGTAAGCTAACATGAGGTGGGCATCCCTAAAGAAAACAAAGCAAGTTTTGCAAGGCATCCGCTCTACATCGCGCGTACCATTATGACGTCATATCGCTCATTGTGACGCAAAAGATATGACGTCACAGTCGTATATAGAAAAGCGCCAAAATCTCAAGCTCTCTGTTGTCTCCAAAACGTAAATACATTCCCTTTGTTGATTTCTGTCGTGTTTTTCTGCACGAAATGTATTGCCACACATCATTTGAATATTGTAGTAACTGCATCTGTGCATTTTGTAACCTGTAATTGTAGATATAGTTATTTAAATATGCCTACCGACAATGACTGAAAATAGAGCTATTCTATGAATATTAGCTTCCGCGGTGATGCGGCCGTCAAACCAGCTGTTTCAATCAGAGGGGGTTTATTGTGATTTAATAGCCTCTGATTGACCAATCAGAATCGAGTAAAATCCAAATTTATGGTAGAATTAAGGTTCATTAACAATATTTAGCTTATAAAGCGGGTAAACTATCAAGTTGCCGCTTCCACATGTATCTAAATGTTCACTGAGTGGAATCCTGCGGTTGTGTGGCTGCTTTATTTGTGAACGGTGAAGTTTCATTCTTCTTTTTAATTTATTTCCGATATACTTTTCATTGCATCCATTACAAACAATCAAGTAAATAACATTTTAATGCAGTAGGATAATTTATATGCAGTAGGAAACTGTTAAGTTCAACAAGGCGTGTATATATATAATATATGTGTGTGTTTGTGTGTGTGTGTGTTTGTGTGAGTGTTTGTGTGTGTGTGTGTGTGTGTGTGTGTGTGTGTGTGTGTGTGTGTGTGTGTGTGTGTGTGTGTGTGTGTGTGTGTGTGTGTGTGTGTGTGTGTGTGTGTGCGTGCGTGCGTGCGCGTAGATTGTAGATTGTAAGAAACGTCTTTAATTCAGGCCTGGGTAAATAACATACACATGCTGATAAACTTGTATCTGAAATATTTTTGTGTGTTTCGTACCTGAACCTCCTTCTGTGAGGTTGAAATGTAGTTTCCCAGGAGTTTCAGATGACGTGAGCGATACTTGTCTGTAGAAACACCCCTTATCGGTCCTGGGAATGAACAATTCGAATATGTACCACAAACATTTTACAGGACCAAAGATCTCTCCTAATTTGAAACATCCTTCATTTTGATGACGCCAATACTGATTTATATTTATGGATGTTGTGACTTTTATACAATTTTGATTTAAGAGACATTTTTCATAAGCCATGATAACATAGACATAATAACAACAATTGATACCCATTTTCGACTGCACCCGAAGTATTTTTATGATTTTTTTGTAATAGTTGTAAATATTAAATAATCTGTATATTTAAACAAATTATTAACTGAGCAAAGTGGGGTATTTTGGAGCCTAAATATAACTTTATTTATTCCAAACTGCGTTGTTCTCACCTGCCTTTGATGTACCCCTTCAGCGATCCGTCTTCTTGGATGATGTACTCGTGCTGGTAATCCTGGAACAACTCAGATGCAGGGAAGAACATCTGTGCCAGCCACTGCATCTCATACCAGGTACCATTAAACTGCAAGACACAAAGGTCACAGTGTGAGTCATGGTCATCGTGATATTCAGATTACTTCCATGTAGTTATGGTACTATGTGGTGTGTGTTTCAGAGAAAGTATTGCAATGAAGCAGAACAGCGTTTGGGTATGGCATACTATTACAATGTTTGTAGGAGGCATCATTACTTTACAAATAATGACTCTTCACGAGGTCAACATGCGAACACAAGGACCCGAGGGCCCGACGCCTGAGGTGGTCTGACCGGACTGAGGCCCCAGGCATGTGACAGTTCAATACTGATCATGTGATGAGGTCAGTGTCAGTCACATGATTTCGGTGTCTACATTGAAATGTGTTGTTTCGTCTCGTGGTATGGATTAACCAAAGTAATTGCGAGATTTTAAAAAGAGGTATAACAAAAATACGTATTTGCCACTAACCAGTTTCATGTCGAAGTCCAATTGTATCGGTACATCCGAGACCTGGCAGCTTTGTTCTGGCGAAGTCCTGTACTGGGCAGGTGCACTGCATTCTATCGAGAGCAAGGGAAGGAATGATCATGTTGAGTCAAGAAGACCATGTCACATCATATTAAAAAGGGAGTAAAGGGTCTATGTTCATAAATAATTATTCTGGAATCAGAGCGAGTGTCTTATAACAGGAATTGTAACATATCAGGGTATAACATGAATTACAAATAATATTACCCCACAAACACCATGCGCAGAGTTAAAGTATTTCGTTAAGCAACTGTGTGTTTATGTTGAGACAAAGTATCCATATACATTTCTTTATGTATGTATATAAGGACGAGTATTTTGACAACATATATATAGTCAATAATATCTACGTACCAATCTGATACTTTTGTAAATATTATGAAGAACCAAACTGTACATACATTGCATTGTGCTGGCATTGTGTGTGGGCATATGATCTACATACGATTTATATACACGTAGTACTGTTTACTTACCTTCGAGTGTGTGTGTGTGTGTGAGTGTGTGTGTGTGAGTGTGTGTGTGTGTGTGTACATATAGGGCTTTATGTTAAACCCACTGACATTAACACACACACACACACACACACACACACACACACACACACACACACACACACACACACACACACACACACACACACACACGCACACATACTCACACACACGCACACATACATATTCAGTGGATTTAAGACAGAGCCGTGCATTATTATCAGTAATATTAGTGTGTATATTTGGTCGCATGAATGGTCGTTTGAAATTACTGCCGTGTGCGTTTATCGTTGTGCAACCACACGCGTATTCTACCTTTTAATTCAGGGAAAATACCAATTGTCAGTTTCCTATCACGTCATGTTATGTTGCTATACATTGTCAAACCATCGTGAGTCCAGTAAAACTAGTTACCCTTTTCTTGTTTTGTTTTCAGGAAGGTAGAGGATGGAAGGCAGGTTCTGTTGTAGAAGGACGGAGCTTTGTCCATTATAACCTGTGGAAACGTCGGTGTTCAGCTCCAGATCCATGCTTGGGCCTCATCGCAGGTTCCGTCAGCGGAGACATTGTAACAGCCATAGACGAAAGCGTATTGAGTGTAGTCTGTTTCCAACACCCAATACGGAAATTCTCGCTCTTTAAGAAAAGTGCACAAGTTCATTCCCAACAAATTCTGAAGCATTAGTATCCATGCTGAGAATCCGATGGCGGTTACAAAGTTAGTCCTTCTTGTCACAAATTCTTATTAGTAGTGGTATTATTAGTATTATTTACAAATTAAAAAAAAAAAGGCAACAAAGAAGGTTTGGGTGATCCTGGCACTGTCAGACTGGTTAGGCTCATTATCAGCTCAGGGCCCTTGCCCCCTCTACACACAGGCCAGACAGCGAATCGGACTTCTCCCAGGAAGCGCTGCCTGGTCAAACCCATCCAGAACTTTTCGGAGAATGTGAAGACTCCCCAACACTGCAGCCTTCTGCATTACCCAGATTGTCAGAAGGGCTGTTTTCCTGGTAGCAAACCCGGATGCTCTCCCAATGTCAGTCAACAGATTGGGAGGTACCATACCTAAGGCACCGAGAACAACGGGGAGTCGGACAACTTGGTACTTGGGATGCAAGCGTGACATTTCGAAAGCGAGATCCACATATTATCCATGGATTTCCTCAATTTCTCAATTCCTCAATCACATTAGTGTCAAAAGGGACAGAAAATTCAATGATATACATGATTTCGTTGGATTTATCAAAAGATCAGGTTATGATGATGATGATGTCACCTGCAGGGTGTATGGGATGTTATGAGAATAACAAACTTGTACACCCAACGACCTTTTGGTTACGAGGTATACACCTCGTAAAATCTCCAACACCCCGCGAGTGACACATATACCTCCCAATAACTTTCACTGAGACCCGCCATCAAGGATTCACCTTACATAATGCGGTTTCTTCAACAAATACCTTCGTATTATGCGAGCGATATATAACAATCTTAATGCTAAACGTTTCGGAGCATCGAAAGGGTTTGTAAATAATGAAATAGCCTATTTCATATTTCATATTTGAGCCGCCGAGTAACAGTAACAACGATCTTCTGAAACATTTTGAAAGACACAAATCAGCATAAGCTACGTTCTGAGACCTACAAGCCTGTTAACAGCCTGCATACATAGAAATCCGGTTATCAACTGAAGTTTCCTCCTCGTCCGACCTCACGACACATAAATTCACTGACATGATTCAGTTGCCTAATCGTTCCTCACACTCGAGTAAGCAGGTGAGGTGAAATGGGGTTTAGTGTGGCGATAAATAGATGGTACGTGTGTTTACCCTGCCTGGCGCTCGGCATTAAGGGGATAAAACAAGTACTGGTCAGCTCCAAGTATATTGTGTCTAAATGGGGTATTCAAGTTAAAATGTGGCATGGTATCTCAATGGGCTAGCACTATAAAATCGGCATAAGTCCGGACTAGTACAAACAGACACACACGCCCGTCGCTTTATAAGCGTTATAATCTTGAACGCGACGTTATATTAAACCCCATTTCACCTGACCAATATGTCATGGTGGGCCTACTGCAGATTCTTACTCTTCCATGTGTAGATGAGTTTCCCAGGACTATTGGTTGGGTAGAGATTGTAACTCATGAAAGAACATTTCCCATCCGGGGTTGTTGGATCACTGAAAGAGATTGTGAAATAGTTGTTAGGAATGTGCATATGTCAATACTCTAAAACATAAACATAAACGGGTATCAATATTAAAATGTATCGCATCAGATCAATGCTTGCCAATACTGTTTCATACCACATTAATGTAGATTTCAAAAGCTGACCACCCACCCACCAACCCACCCACTCACTCACCCAGATTGTGATTCTCGGCTCATGAATATCACCTACATCCTATCCGGGGATTTTACAGAGTGGTTATCTTTAGTATTTAGCATTCCCTCGTGCCGTGACCTAATAGATGCAAATACTGTTCAAACGGTTTCAAGGGTAACTTGGCAAAATACTTATAACTAAATTTACTTATAGGCGGTGTTGAGGAAGGAATATGCATGCACATTAACGTTACTTCAAAGGAAGTATTGTACTCCCATGTCTTACCGTCCGTTTATGTAGTTCGTAATGTTGCCACTCGTTGTTTGAATGTAGTTGTGGTAATAGTCATTAAACCTTTCTTCTGGCGAATAGTATGCCGGAGTATGCCACTGATATGCATACCATTTGCCTACGTACTGCAACATAGATGAGATTGGCATGTGTGATCATATAAATACTTGTTTGCCGCAGTCTGATTTGTTGACAAAAGCTGTTATATGGAACGTAAATCCCGAAACCCGTCTAAATAAGTATATTTTTCGCTGTAATAGTCTATTGAAAAAAATATTCATTATATATCGAGTTTCACGGATGGTTATCGAACCTTGTTAGTACTGAAGAACCCCTCTCTGCATTCTCAGAACAAATTCATTGAAGAATATGACGTCATGACAAACCAAAATGACGTCACATCTGTCGTTTGAGTGCATGTAGAAAGAGAGAATGCTGCGGATAATATTTTTCGTTTACAATGGTGACACATATACTGAGGGCGAAAAGTAAATATACCAACTTTGTAATTTTATGTTATTGTTCATATTGATAGAACTGGTGTTAAATTTGATTATGCCTATGTAACCTCAACTCATCCCTGCAACAGTTTGTAAAAAGTAATCCGTGGCTGGGTAATTTTCGTGTAAAAGTAATTTGGTTCAATGAAGACTTAGTAATAAATGAAGTAATAACTGAATTTGCAACCACATGACCCCTACCATGTTTGAAATGTTGTAAATATGTGCTGAAGAAAAAAAACTTATTGATTTTCAAAGATAAGATTATATCGCTAACGTAAGATATATTCAATCGAAAATCAAACATATGATAGAATCTGACTGGTATAGTTTCTTTGGCTTCTCTGTTTGCTATTTGCGTAGAGATTTCTGCTTGTTATTCTGTGCTGGATACACGGATATTTCACATTGAAAACCGGGAGTCACTGTCACAACGCTTTGATGCAAGGCCCATCATATATTAGAAAGATCCGCACATTGTCGCCTCTACCCCACTCAGGGGAATTCGAAGGACCGCGAGCATCGACCCGGCGTTTCTCGATATTCTGCTGTCTGATGGTAACGGATTCATTAAAAACACGTCGACTATGTTGTCCGTCACTGGTTACAGAATCCTAAATTCGTTCACCCAGTGGCCTCATAGATTTATTTACATTCAGACAGTGACGTTCAAATTGCCTCATGCCAGTGACGAAGGCTTAATCGACTGCTGGTGATGATCTGCAGGCTTCCGCCGTGATCCGAATTCAGCGAGATCAAATTCAAATGTTTATTGTACCTGACAATGTCTGAGTTACAATGTGTTGCATAATGCGATTATTTTGGGAAGACCTATTAACTAGCACTTCCACTACAATATCACAAGTGAACGTCAACACACAGTGACGACAACCATAACTTGATTGCAAAAGGCAAACGTCATTTATAATTTGTACAGTCAGTGTATTAGTGTACAGAGGTTTCTCATGTGTGTGTCAAAATGTTAAATGCATAATATACAGAAATAAAAAGATACAAGCATGTGCCTCTAAGCAGTAACAGGAACGCATAAAGAAGATGTAGATCAAATATTACTTACCTTATCAAGGTCGAAGTTGGGCTGAATGAGTAGGTTATCAACAATGCAGCCATTGCCTTCTGTGAGGGGTAACACGTTGAATAGCAGTATACAACATACCCTAAACAAGTTGTTAAAGGACATCGTTCCCTAAAGTATCAAACTCAATTCCAAATCAGGTGTGTAGACACAAACAAGTCTTATCCAAAATGCGTATGTACATGTACCTCTGAGCTGTTTAAATGTTCTATCTCAAGCTGTATCCTTTCAGTATTGCAAAACTATATAAATTCGTCGTTCGTTTACAATGGGAAATCTGGTAATGCTTGGTCAGTCAAGCGTTGAATTACGGGAGAGGTCCTCGGGCCAACTCTACACGTGTGGCAAAACAGATTCGATGCAAACGAATCTCCTGTGTTTGAAGATATGCAGTAGTATAGGGATATCTACCACTTATGCGCCTCAGTCAACTGATCTCAAACATGCAGTGTGAACGTGCAAGTTTATTCCCAAACGCCACTGAACCGTGTATGAACATATTTGAAGGATCTGTACGTTATCTATTCTTATAGTCTATAAAGGGAATAGTCTATGGTCGATGTTATTAGATACCATTTGGATATTATTAGTGAGAACATCCTAACCCGTACACCGTACTACGAAAAAGACCAGGTGACCAGTCAGGCTCTGTCACCTGACTGGGCGCCGTCGTACCCAGATGGCGTTCATTCATTCAGACTCAATGATCTTCAGTGATATAATTTGAATATTGTTCATTGTGGCTTTAAAATACATTTCCTGTCTACCTCCATGCTTTACCTTAAACTTTAAAATTGATTAGACTGCAGTACATAATTAACTCAGGTGTCGGATGAAACCCATCAGTTGCGGAAACAGTTACCCAAATGTATAATAATAGCGAGTAAACATTTTTAGATAAAAACACACACTTTGTAATGCAGTATTAAATGTATGATGATTGTTTTCTGATTGTATAGCATTTCCCCGTACGTTATTCAATTGTCCGGGCTTGTAATCTCAGTACAAACTACGTTCCCCAAAACGACAATTGCATGGAGTCTTGTTTACTCCTCTTGCAGCGTCTGGCCTAGATCAGCTTACGTAGATGGCCTTTGACGTTGTCGTACACGTGTGCGGATAATGTCCCAGACATGCTCTGTGGGTGAAAGGTCAGGACTCAGGTTTCATCCTTGCATGCTGGTGATGTTTTGCTGCAAGAGGTAGTCAGTTTCGATACGTGCACGGTGCGCACGACCGTTATCGTCTTGAGACAGAAAGCGTGGACCAGCATGTCATTACAGACACAGCCCCTATATATGTCATGTTGTCTTAAGCTGACGTTCGCATGACGTACTTTGTACGCCTGCAGACACGTCCACGCCTATCCAGAAAGCCCAGTGCGACTCATCTGAAAACAATACACCAGACCATCGGTGATTCCCCCAGTTTCTACGCTGTAACACCATTGACGTCTGGCTAGAATGTGTCGATGTATGAACGGTGGTTAAACGCGCGGTTGCGGAGCATGAAGATTAGCTAACTAGAACTTGAACTCTGGTGGCCTGAGGCAAGTGAATAGCGAATTGGTTGGCTGTTTTGTCTCGTTTTCTTACAGCTTATTTTGTTGCTTATATTGTTGACCAGGGCGCTCTGTACGGGGGACGATCATGAACAGTTCGTAACCTCAGAAACCTGTTCCAATGTTTGCAAATCACAGACTGAGACACTTTAGACATTCTGGCTTCCTTCTGTCGCTTTGAAGCATGCCAGTAGCCCTCAGGCGTTCATCACTTGTTGACGACGCATTCCCAATCTGATCACAAGTACTAATGAGAGCGATTTAACGAACTTTCGCTTAAGTGTCAAAATCAAGAATGACCCCTTACCCACAGGCACGGAGTGGCAGTCCATGGCAGTAAAATTATATATCATGATCCCCTACTTCCTTTTGAGAATATATACAGCTGAAATATAACCGATAAAATTACTATATTTTTACAATATCTTTTCCTTCTCTTGAATGATCGTTACTGGTTAATGATATGATTTAATATGAATAATTCATGTTCCATGAAGAAATCTGTGGCTACAAAACGTTTTTTTCTTTTTGTCTCATGTGAGAAAGGGGAGAATTTGTGTTCACCTGTTTATGGTTGAAATTTAAGATTGAAATTAACTACATTCAACATCATTGTTCATTTTCATCTTGCGAGTTCAACCATGGATGTCGTTATCTTCTTGTACTTGATATACACCCCAGACCCTATTCATAAAGAAACGCACTGTCATCCTGTTTTTTGTTTGCATTTCTTTACATAATATTCTTCCATAACGCGATTACATTGCGCATAGTATAAATTAGTATCCTATATGTAGTATATTATTCATGGTTAGGTCACTGCGGCAGATCTGAAAATTTAAGCTAACATAAGCTGTTGATGACAGTTTTTATTTGACCTGTTGGCGTTATATCGAGGAAGGGTGGATACCACCAGCTCCGTGACACAGAGCTACAATGTACGTGGAGGTTTCTGAAGATGAATCTCTTTGCCCTTATTACACTGACAATAACACAGTCCCTTTATGCTCTAAGAACGACACGTGGTACAGCCTGTGAAGAATATGTGTGTCCGTAGAACATACGAAGGTTGATTGATAAGTTCAGCGCCTTACTTATATCTACGAAAATATCGAAATGTTTTGTTGTGAACATTACGTGATGTCACAATGATGTACATAAACAAACACGTGCGTCAACTGAGCACAGTTTCCCTGTGATATTAAGTAAAATAACAGGTGTCTGTGACCTTTACAAACATGGACAAGCTTGAGGAACGTGTAGTGATCAAGTACTTGTAGAATAAGGGTTTAACACAATAGCCATCCGTGAAGATCTGATGTTCTCGATATCGCGATACAAGTGGCGTATTACATGGTGTAAATAAAAGCGAGAAATCCGTTACCACAGTCTAAACGAAATCTCTGCTAAAAGCAGACCCCAGTTTTACAATTCCGACTACATTATCAAGTGTTTTTGGATTAATATCAAACAGTAAAGAAATCAGGTTTCAGCCTGAAACACTACCACGGAAACATTTTGTACCAGTGAATGGGGTATCATTTTTGTCGTTTATGCGTCCTCCAATGCGTCACTTATGCGTCCTGCTTTTTAAAAGCTTCACTATAGCGTGAAATGTTGTAACCCTGATCAAACAACTTTCAAGCAAGAGTCGTATGACGCTTCTTGAATTCTTCGCGGAGAGAGTATAACTTTGCTCGATTCATTTGGAAAGTTGAAGCCATCCGTCCCGATCTTGTCCTACGGTCTTGATTTTTGTTACTGAATCTTTATTGTCAGGTTATTAATGTGAAACAAATGAGGCGGTTTCACTGTGTCAGGTGGGTAAATCAGATGAAGTAAATTTGCCCTGTATCAGATACTGGATATACCTGAAGCTTAAGTTATAAAGTTTTGCATAAAATGATAACAACGCACTTACAGATGAGGACACGTGGTTTGTACTCGTATGCAAGCTTAACGTATTCATAACTACAATTTGTAGAATAAATATATGACCATACAAGTACATATTCATGGCTATTTGTAAGATATGTACGATTTCCTAATGTTGTGGAAATTCCATGATTCTAATGCTCTATAAATGTAACCACTGAGATTGTCTTTATTGATATACAGTCAAACGCCGTTGTGCCGAGGTTAGGTAGTTTCATATCGAAACTGATGAATAAAGAAAGAAAACGCAGGGACCATGCTTAACTTCGAGACAACCGTAAGTTAGACACATCAAAGTTCGACACAACGGTGTTTGACTGTAAGTTATAGTTTCTTGGTTCGCTTTCCTTCACATTTACATCCTGACAATGTTCATAGTAATCACTCATATTTAAACAGTACAATAGAACACAATGATAGAGAGGCCCTGTAACATGCATTCTGGTGATAATGTCCACACACTAACCTGTTCATATCTAGGGGGGGGTCGCTCTGACAAGCAGACACTTCATAAGGTGCTTATAGACTCTGCTTACACAGACCAATGACCCCATTGTGCACATACTATCTACTTGTCCCGGCTTGGATGCTTACAATGTCGCGAACCTTACGACCTATGTATAACGTGTAGTATAACGTGCTTCGGTTAGAGAGTGGGATACCAATTGTATGTCCTCCTGTACAGTTCCATTGACATCTAGCTTTCGTGACTGCGATCATTACGAACGCTCATATCATTCCAATGTGTCAGGATGGACGCTACCTATCCTCTCCACCACCATCTGCAAATACAAAAGCGCCGTCAGTAAGGCCTCGGTCGTCTGTAATTTGCAGTCAACATTTTAAACAGATATCATGTAATACAATGTACTTACGTGGTCATGTCTGCACAATAGGATGCAGTGTCCTTGGATTACATGAATTGATACAAATGATTAGCTATAGTTACCTAGGTTTGCATGAAACATAAGATGATATCATTTCACCTGACGTTGCTTCCCAGCGCGTTTGTGTCGTTTGTAGCATCTGCTTGTAAGACATTAATAACGAAAAAATGGACGATAAAGAGAGGGGGTAGGATTACTATTTAGCTGACGTACAAACTATGATTGAGGCATTTGTAGTTGAATATCTCAATACTACCATTTAGTAAACTTCTAAAATTGCTTTTAATCAACACGTATTACTGTGTATACTCAGCCAATAGGTTTTCATCAATTTATTCGCGTGAATACATAACATACAACATGTTTTCACACAATACATGAAGTGAAGCATGCAAATAGTAGTTCTGAAGCGTCCAATGAAGTTACAACGCCGTGCAAACAGTGCGCCTCGGGGTTATGACGCAGAAGGTGACGTCAGCGTCTGAGACTGAGAAGCACATGAATTCCAGCTACCTGGTGTACCTGCAATTTCAAATACGCTCTCTAAGTACTTTGTCTACCTACATTGGCACCCCTATTGTTATATCCCGATAACAATAACGATAACTAGCTACATACATGTAAACATACATGAATACATGCATTCATGCACGCACGCACGCGTGAGGTGGAATGGGGTTTGAGGTGGCGTCCATGATTATTTCACAAAAATAGCGACGTGCATGCCTACCTACCTACCTACCTACCTACCACCTACCTACCTACCTACCTACCTACCTACCTACCTACCTATCTACATACCTACCTACATACCTACCTACATACCTACCTTCGGTCGTTTTTTGCAATATTTTCAAACGTCTGAATAAACCTTGCTTTCATATCATGCGAACAAAAAGCTTGCAACTAACTTTGTGTCCTACTCTGCACGGCGCCCAATGCATTTTTACATGTACACTGTGTTTGCTCTGTAATGTGTATTGTGCATTCAAGAGTATGAGAGGATTTCGTTTTGACACTACCTACAAAAGGACTTGTGTCAATATGTACATACCCTCATTTCATAGATTAGAGAGTCCTATATAAGCCACGGTCAAGCCGGCCTACGTGCTACCCTATATATATATCTACACAGCATATGAAGAGCATATAGTCTTCTTCATGGCCAGTTAACATCGTCATTCAACATGTTGGATTCCATAATCAGCAAAATGTTAGCTGTCATTCGTCTTGCGCTTTTCTCAGCGAGTGTCTTTGTGTTTGTTAAAGGCAATGATTGCATCGTAGACGATATAAAGGTCCAAGCGAACTTTGATACAGATAGGGTGAGTTTTCTTGACATGTTATGGTTCTATTTCAATTTTGAATTGTCCATGTACTAATTACAATTCCTAATATGCATCCCCGTTGTATCTGCACAGCATATATTCATCCCATGCATACATGTGTAATAGTGACGATGGCGTTATTTCTGTTTGCTCATAAATGTATAGCTTTTGAAGCAATTGCATTTGGACAATGGCAATTATGCCAGATGCTTGCACATGGTCAAAATAATAAAAAATAACAGTGATTAATGTTGAGGTGAGGTGAAATGGGGTTTAACGTTTCGTCTAAGATTATAGCACTTATATAGCGACGTGCCGTGTGTGTGTGTGTGTGTGTGTGTGTGTGTGTGTGTGTGTGTGTGTGTGTGTGCGTGTGCGTGTGTGTGCGTGTGCGTGTGTGTGGCTGCTTGTACTAGTCCGGATTAATGCCAGTATTATAGTGCTAGCCCACTGAGATACCACACCGCAGTTTTACATACATACCCCACATAGACATAGTATACCTAGTATAGAGTCCCGAACCGACCAGTCCTTGTTTTAGCCCCATAATGCCGAGCGTCAGACAGTTAACAGTAAGTATCATCTTTTAACTTATTTTGGTATGACCCTGACGGGGATCGAACTCCGGACCTTCCGAGCGGACGCTCTATCCACAAGACCACGGAGGTGGGTTTTGCTGATGAATTATGTCTCTGGTAATGCTACTTCACACATACCTCGTTTCCTTCGCAGTATATGGGGAAATGGTACGAGTATAAATGGTATGCCCAATCGTTCATACCGGAAGAGGAAAGGTATGCAGACTACTACCACTATTACATTCCTACCGATGACAAAAATATCACCAACTACATCAGTGGGCGGTGAGTATCAGATTAGAGTGAGATTCTAAGATGTATACGGTTTCTTTGTTTACGTGAGGGATCTCAGGCATTTACCCATTGTATTAGAAATGTGATTTTATGGCAACTTGGAAACATTTTCCATGACATGTCTGATCGGAATATCGAAGACCAAGCCAATAACAGTTTATAAAGTACCAATCAGTAGACTCGCGTATTTCCGTATCATCGCTTACGAGTCAGCTTTTCTTGACATGAGGCCAATTGTTTTTATTTTTATTTTTTTTAAAGTTTTAAAACAAATTATTTAAAATAAAATACAAAAGTATTCTTTTGGTGCTGACAGAGCGCTAGTACAGCGCATTGTTTTGTTATAATATCACTAACTTAAGACATTTTCAATTGAAAATCAAACAAATGATAAAATCAACTGATATAGGTATAGGTATAGGTTTATTGCCTCCTCAGTTCACAATAAAAATAGTTAACTATTTTAGAAGATTTCTCTCTCCTTCTCCTACTTGGGGTTGTGTTTTTCTGACGTTTGGGAACATTTTGCTAACGAATGTGCCATGCTTAGTTGTGTCAATTCCTGTAGCAGATGATTCTGGCATAAAACTGGCACCTTACTGTTCTTGTTCCCACCATGTCTTATTGCTTTGTGTATACTATCTTTCCCCTACACAGTGATCCATCGAAGCCTGACGGGGAGTGTTTCTTTTACCACCGGGAACTCATCCCGACTACAGTGCCTGGGAGGTTTATCTGGCAAGACACCCCATCAGGTCAGTGATAGGAACACACAATGCCTTTTATAAAATTGTCAAGTTTAACAAATCTTATAGTAAGGATGACACTTACTTTGTAAAGTACACATTCTTGTACTTATATTTGGGATGAATCCCATCCGGCATTCGAAGCCACACCCACAGAGTGAGGCACCTAATCGCCAGCACACAAATTCAGTGATTCAACTCACTCACCCACCGTGACTTAAGTCAGTGATAGGGGCGGTCGGGTAGCCTAGTGGTTAAAGCGTTCGCTCGTCACGCCGAAGACCCGGGTTCGATTCCCGACATGGGTACAATGTGTGAAGCCCATTTCTGGTGTCCCCCGCCGTGATATTGCTGGAATATTGCTAAAAGCGGCGTAAAACCATACTCACTCACGCATTAAGTCAGTGATAACCTCCTGTTAACACGAACATATCAATATTAGGTTATTAATTTGACACTAAATGTTAGTGTTGGGTCCATTACCAAAAGTATCTTCAAAAAGCGTATTAAACCGAACCTCGGTTATTGCTTCTGTGTTTAGTAATAATGTCAGTACGTTTTACCACACTGCAAATCTGAATACATGTTTGTATTTTCCTTTTGATTTAAAAGATGCAATGTCCTACTGGGTGTTAGAAACAGACTACACCCAGTACGCCTTTGTGTACGCCTGCTCAAATGTATCCTCCACCCGCACATGTACTCAACCCCGGGCATGGATCTGGAGTCGCACCAAGATCATTCCTCAGATTGTAATGGATCGAGCCCCTTCGTTCTTCAACAGGACCTGCCTTAATGAGACCTCCTTCCTGGATACTAAACAGGACAAGGGTAAGATTTGGATACAGTTTATCACGTTCAGGTATTAATTTCTTGGGTTCGTGAGTTTACATCAGCTATTACTGAAGTGGTCATGCTTTTCTTTTTTCTTTTACCGTTTACAGAACGCGTGTTATATTGTTCATATGTTTGTAATACTATTTTGTATAAACGTATGTATCTTTTCTTACATGTTTTTATAAATGAATGTGTATTTACATTCATTTCGTCTGAGGGGCGGCCGGGTAGCCTGGTGGTTAAAGCGTTCTCTCGTCACGCCGAAAATGTACATGGGTACAATGTGTAAAGCCAATTTCTGGTGTCCCCCGCCGTGATATTGCTGACATATGTCTAAAGCGGCGTAAAACTCACTCACTCATATCATCTGAAAAGCAACTGCATAGTTTGGTTAAAGGTAACATGTTTACATTGTGTAACGTGTAATCTTCCATTAAAGCGTAAGCAATGTAGGCCCACATTAAGTCACAATCAATAGGTTGTAGACGTGAAGTCATAAATGTTTATTTATATATCCTCTAGAATGTGATATACCAGCGCAGTACAGGACAACAGAGGGTCAAAACTGCAATGTTTCAACATTTCAAATACAACAAGACTTCGACATAGCCAAGGTACATGGCAAAGAAATTTGGGATAACATCTTTTACAAAATCGGCCAGTGTCATGACAGAAAACAAGGAAAGTAAATACACGACGAATAACATCGTACACTCAGTGGATACTTATTACCTGCCTATGTATTTGTTGGGAACGTTAAGTATTTGTGATTTATATGAGGGGTTGCCGGAAAATTCTTAGGCTAACTGCAAAGGACGTAGACTACACCCTTAACAGTTTGCACATAGTACGTATCATACTCGCCATGCTTACAGGCTGCATTTGAACAAAATCCAGCATATGTCTGCACGCATCAAAGGGACTAGGCCTTCTCTGTTGATAAAAAAATGGACAAATTGGCTACCATGCTCTCATAAATGTATCTCTATATGAAAGGGCTACCTCAAACAGCTATCCGTATGATGATGATGATGCTTCCTTTGCTACTGTTAAGGGGTGGGCAGCGGAGTTCCAGAGGGGGAGAGAGAGCCCCTAATGTGATTTAAGATCAGGAAGACATTAAACTGCAACCCCTAAGGAAAACGTTGATACAAAATAATGCAGTAGGCATCTATCATGAGCGATAGAGCGAGAGAGAAAGAGATATGTGTGTTGGGGGGCGGGGGTGGGGGGTTCTGAGGAATGTTCTGCGCCTGACAAGAGTTTCAGCGTCATTTGAAGCTTTGAAGCAGACTGAGCTAATTATGTTACCAATTTGTAAACATGAATGTGGCGTGGCTTCACCACTATCAGCCTGAGACTGAACAATACAATACTCAAATATACCGTATATAACGTCTCCTCCTCTGAAGAAGAAGGCTAAGTTTGTTCTCTCGGCTGAGAAGATAATATGATTCCGTTAGAATCCTACTTTTAGACTACCTCCCGACAGGTCTGACTAGTAATGGCCAAAGTAATGCTAATCTGCTTAGGCAATTGCGTGAGAATACCAATGCTAAACCTCGTGGGAAACTCACTATACATGTGTGTGTGTGTTGTTCCACCAGGACAATGCACTTGTACACAAGTCTGTTGTCGCCATGGCCGCAGTGTATGACTGTGGCTTTATAACATTGAACACCATCTTCCGTATTCACCTGTTTTAGCACCATCAGACGGCACTGCAAACACGAAAACGTCGTTTTTTTCCGTATATGGTCATTCGACAGAAAAACGACGTTATTTGGACGTTTTCAAACCATCGTTTTTCCGTCCAAATAACGTCGTTTTTTGACATCGGAATTTACTGGGAGAGAACGATAGCGTTAAGCTCCTCCCTTTCTTGATTGACATTGTCAATCAAGCAACAGCGTCTACCGGTATTTCTACTTCTCAGATTTCATTGGTCAGTCCCCGCGTGTTAGATTACAGGCCCGCGTTCGACGCTGCACTCGAAGCGCTTAGCGGAAGTACTGAAATCAATCGTTCTGCGCATGCGGATTACTTAATGCCTTGACCAAATTTTCCGTTCTGTGCATGCGCGATTTCGCATTTTGTTTCCTAGATTTAATGTCACCACTATTTGACAATGGTTCATAAACACAGTCACGTGAAGGTTCGGAATCGTAACGAGTAACTCCATTTAAATTGAAAAGGATTCCCAGTGATATGGGAGATTCCAAGATGAAACTATTCTATGGCCATCTAGGCTGCCACCCAAACCGATCTAAACGGGACCCGATAGCTTATTGTATGCTATATAGTCATATGGAAGTGGACAAGAACTATACATTGTATTCCGGCCGATTGTTCTTGCATTTACTTATAAGTCAGGAAAATGGACTTAAAAGGGGAGTTGTTGAATGTAATTATTTTAATTATTAAATGTTGCCTATACACTAATCTCGACGAACTTCTCATTGTTCTGTTTATGTCATCCTATATACTATTAGTATGTTACCGTTCTAAAGTCAACCTCTCACATAACATTATATTGTTCATAGTATCAAGTTTAATCAACAATATCAAGAGCAGCGATGTAAACCACTGAAACTCCCAAACACAAGGCTGTTATCAAGCGGTAGTGCAGACGTGATGCATCGTAAAAACTGTATCGTGATGTCTTCAGAAATTCAATTATACTACGAGATAGTACGGCTAACGCTGACTCACCGGTGGAACAAAGACAATATCGCTAATACAGATATAACGTATTTGAATGTTAATACTAAAGACAAACAATCATTATTTTTGCAGTGACGATATAACACGTATACACGTTTATTGTTAACTTTCATCAGTTTTGCTCTTCATTTTAATAACTTTGTTTTCACATATATATGTAACAATACCCGACAAGCATGTCATACATAATTATGGGGCAGTTTTCAATCTTGTACTGACTTACTCTGGTGTTAATGAGCGAAGTTTATTGGCTTGTTTGTAAAACCCCGTTTTTCTTGTAATCCTATTATTACTTAGTTTAATTCTATCTAATGACACCCTGTTCTCTGGATCATGGCTCCGTGACTATCCATAACAATTAAGATGAACATTCAGTTCAAGTTAATGAATGAGTTTGTTTTGACGCTACAGTCAGTCAAAAAACCAATGCTGTGAGGTTTGATAACACACTTCTACCAGGTCGAACATCGTGGATCCTCATTTTCTGCTTAAAGAGAATTATAGTTCATATGCTAATCCATCTGCGAATACCCTCCAACTCAAGATGACCTTACTTGTTGCTAAATCTATCATCTATTCCCCTAATCTCACCCGCCCCCACCCCCCACACGCACGCACGCAAACGCGCACACACACACGCACGCAAACGCGCGCACGCACGCACGCACGCGCACACACACACACACACACACACACACACACACACACACACACAAACAACTGACCTAAATAACTTGGACAGGAAATACTGCTGATATCCTCTGGTCAACTCAGCCGCGCCACCGCAGAATGTTCGTCCAACTCTGCAGGGGGCATTCTCAGTGGCTTCAACCGCGCTGAAATGTTTTCGCCTTGCATCCAAGATGGTGGACAAGTGAAATCGTATGAAATTTGGCTATTTTAGGTCCTATCTCTTTTTTGATTACCCAATAAAGTCAATTCATAGTTACACGGTTGTGAAGAAGCTTACAACTTTATAAGACTTATTCATCTCATTCCAAAAAGCTACTCGCGCTCACATAAAGTTGTGGTTATTATGTCACTGTTTTATTTCTTTAAAAATATATTACATGTTCAACAATAACAATTAAGATGAACATTCAATTTCCGATATAAGTAAATGAATAAGTGTGTTTTCGCCACAATCAGTCAAAAACCAACGTTGTCCGGTCTGATGACACACAATCTACCAGGTAGCACATTGTGTACACCCTATCCCCCTTGAAGTCTCCACTGTGGGTATTCCTGGGGACGAAAAGTCCCCATGTACCTAGGAATTTCATCAATACATTCATGCGCGGCATTCTCTGCCTAAAGAAGATCATATAGTTAACATGCTAATCCAACTCGAACTACCATCCCGCTCAAGATGAATGTTTTATGTAACATCCAACAGGCCCACATTTACGCACGCACGCACGCGCACACACATATTTGGATTTACCAATCCCTGAATTGAGAAGACGTGCGTTACGAAGCTCCTCCAAGTCATCATCAATATCCGTATATGTCTGTGATATCATTACCCATCCAAAGCCGAATATACATTTATTGTGTTTTCTTGACAACAGATGTTATAATTGGGATAACACTTTCTGAGTAAAGTACAGATTCTCGTACTTTCTTGGGTTGAGCCCCGTCCTGGATTTGAACCCACACTGTGAGTGAGGCACCCAATCGCCAGAACACAAAGTTGGCGATCTAACCCAGCCACCGAACCAAAAATGTTAGTCCAGATGACGTATACTTTGTGTACTCCTCTGACAAGAGAAAAATGGCACGGCTTCTATGACCGAAAGCTTTGAACCAACAATGCCTTTAAGAAAGTGGTCAACAGTAACACACATTATATTTGGATACCACTCTCTCAGTAAACTACATATTTTTAGGGTGGAGATAATAGACGTTGATGGTTGATTATCAATGGACAAATTAAAGCCAAAACTTAACTTATGAATGATTGGTAATGGGAAATGGACAATGGGCAAACGGGAGGCGGGGTAATCAGCGCCATGCCATCTGTTGGCTTCCCTTGTTGCGTTCCCTTCTTTGCTATCTTTTTACTTTTGTTGTTCTTACAGGTACAAATATATGTTCTCTGCCTCATAGCATTTAATAATATGCACCTGATGAAGGAGAAAGTATATATTCCGAAACGCAGTGTTCCTCCGTTGACATCCATGAATATTTTTCCTAGTGTGTATCAGTTCTTAATGCCCCTCAAAGACTCAATCTAGCTTTGTTTTTAAATGTGGTGATATTTGCGTAGAATTTAATATGGTCATGCCTATATACATTTGGGTCTTTGTCTACATAAGCATTTGGATATACAATTTAGAGCTAAGGACATTGCTAATTCTGCAGGCATGAAGTACACGTCATAGCAAGCTGTGATCTTTATTCATACTTATTCGTAATGGAGATCTGTAACTGAAGTTTACCGTAATCTTCCGCAACTCTCACCTCCTGACCAGTTGAACGTCTTTGTGCATTCAGATGCCATTGTAAAATTCCAGGCTGCCCCTCTTTCTGTGATGTTTTGACGGATGAAATCTATTGCGTTATAATAATCTCTGTTTGCTGATATATAATATGTACATGTAAAATATTTACGATATTTTAGACGTGTAATTCGATGCATATGCAATGCAATGTGAACATAAGTGCGGATGCACGAAGGCGGTTATAGTCATAGTTATACTGCGATGGATGTAGGGGAATGGTAGGGAGGGTGTATGTATGTATGAAAGCACGAATACCGATACATGAGGGCGGATATAGTTATAGTTCGATGGATGTTGGGGAATGGTGGGAGGATGGATTATGTATGAAAGCATGCGCATGGATCCATGATGGCTGACGTAGACATAATGGTAGGGAAAGAAGAATG